TTTCACATGATTTTTCAAAATACCCCTAATTTTAAGGGTATTTTTGTAAGTACCCCTTTGTTTTATTTTTGTTGGATTTGGATTTGGGCAGTGGGCTACAGCCAAGTGCAGCTTGTCAAGTGATATTAATTGTTGATGGGCTATACACTAAAATTAAAACCATTTTCCACTAATTTGTTTTATTTTTGTTGGTTGGATTTGGACTTGGGGCAGTGGGCTACAACAGAACATGCATCTACTCTTCAATATCATTATCAATTATTTCTTATTTTCTTTCTTTTCTCGTTAATAAATTGACAAGAACACGGGTAAGTTTTGAGAAATAATCAATACGCCCACCGGGGGACACAAGGGGTGGCATATATAGGGTCAAGTGACTCTCAACTTTTGGCAAATTTTTGAAACGAAATTGAAATATTATATTCTTAATACAATTTCAAAATACTCACAATCTAATTTTTCACGTTGTTAATGGCGTGCGAATGGCCAATAGTGGCAAATATTACAGCTCATCAAAGTAGGTTGTTCCAAACTAGTATTTCGAGAATTTCGATAATATGCTAACTTTAAAAATTCTTCTATGATCGTACGCTAGCCAAATTCACAAATCGCATATGTCATCTCGAAACTCGCTTCGAAAAATTACACCATAGACATATCTAACATACCAAACGAACATCGAAAATAGTTAAAAGTACGCCAAACGTACGTCTTAAAAAGAAGTCTAACTCGTCTTTGCTTTAAATTTTTTCAATGATTTCATTATTATTTATTATTTGTCCATTTTTCGGGATCTCAAAGGGCGTGGAAACACAAAAGAACTCTTGTATGGAAATGGAAAAGAGATGTAACTCCATTTCCTTCGGAATCACTAGTCAATCCTATTTCTGATAGGGGCAGTTGACAATTTAATATGATTTTGAGCATTATTTTTTGAAATAAAGGCCACCAAGCGAGGGTTTATATTAAAGTGTAGATTTTAATTCCTACCGAACGGGGACTATATTTAAAATATTTTTTTGATAGGTAAAATATAACTTAACTCCTTAACCTTTTATATAGTGTAATTATGAATCCACAATCTTTCGAAGTTAGGTTTTAGGTTCATATTTTATTGAGTAATGCTATTTAGCTCAACTGGTATTACAATCAGTCGTGGCGTTAAAGTGACATTAAATGATATGTAAAATTAAATAAGTCATTTAATTTCATTTTTCATTTAGCCTATCATTTAAAATCACCTAAATTGGGGTTACAACCCCTGTGAGGTTACATAGCATTACTTTATTTTATTTGCTTATGTGAGTTCGGATCCCTCTATTACGGAAAATCGTTAATTTGGTTGTTCAACTCGCATGCGATTTTTAATCGAATTGGAGTCAAAAGGTTAAATAATTGGACAATTTTACCTTGTAACTATGACTTACGTGAAAGTCGGGTGTGATTTTATTTAGAGAAATGCTATTCATCCCCAGTGGGGATGCATCCCCAATCTATGTGGCGTTAATGTGATATTAAATGATAGGTGAAATTAAATAAGTTATTTAATTGTACCTATTATTTAACCAATCATTTACATTCACATAGATTGGGGTTACATCCCCACTGAGAATGAATAGCATTTTTCTCTTATTTACTGTACTTCATAATTTTTTCTAGTAATACGTAACAAAAGTACTTTTTTCGAGACCAAATTTAATTGGACCTATCCAATAAAATGAGTAATGTTGGTATAGGTCTATTTTATTGGACTTTTATATGGCCCCACCTAATATGCTAATACCATCCAAACTACATACAAAATAGATACGTGGTACATAGGAATACTCAAATTTTCAAAATTCAATTCAACCACCGCCGGAAGCTTTCGTGGCCTCGGTTGAGCCGCCAGTAACCACCACCTCTGGTTCGCCACGTTCATACACATCTTGTGGCCATTGGATTCTGATTAATTTGTGTGGTTGCCTTATTTATCACCGTTACAAATCTGACACGTACCCCCATTTACTGTATCGGTGGGACAGGTAATTATTGTCTATACTTTTAAGCAAGCAGATGGCTCTCCACCGTTAAACCTGTCATTTTGATTTGACCAAATCTGTGAGCCACTGAACGATGATGGTGTACACGCCAATGTTGGTACCTTTCTTCTTCGTTTTCTCCCTTTGAAAATGACGTTTGCTTTGGTTACTAGCGAGTTGCACCATGCAATTCGAGTTCACGACGGATTTTTTGTAAACTCATTCTCGAGGGATCGTGTGATCCTCGATACTGGAGAAATAAGATGATATTGAGATAGCATTTGTTAAGTATATAATTATCTTTAATGCGACAATTATTATTTTAGTTTTCGATTGTCCAATGAGTCAAAAATAAAAAATAAAAAAAAATCGTGTTTTCTTCAATATTTACCCAATAAATGGCGAGGGAATTTTTTTGGGCATCAAATAAAATGTACAAAGTTTTAACATTTTCTCTTAAACATTGTTTAATCTATTTTTACTAAACATGTGCTAATGTTAATTATGGGTGTTTAGAACCATCACACGCTAACATTAATTTATCGATCGTGCTACATGTAAGTCATCATTTACAAATTAGTTTATATGCACATGAAATGATGAGATACGATTTAAAATAATGACTTGAGCTTTAGCCTATTAAAATAAATCTATTTTTCCCTACGTGTACGTCATCACTTAAAATTTTCGAGCATAAAAAATAAATTATATACATTTAAAAAAAAAAATTAGCCCGACTATTTTTTTTTTTTTTTTTTGGTTCAATCCTTAATTCACCCCTCAATTAAATAATAAGTTAGCCCTTATTTAATAATCATTGTTTTAAAACTCTTTTTTTTCTCGTACAAATTTTTAACCACGCATTTTTACAAGAGCATGTTTGGAGAAGCTTAAAATTCAATTAAAATTGAAAAAATAGCCGTTATTGGATTTCACCCGTCTAATAAAAGTCAACAATAACGGCTAGTTTTTCAATTTTAATCTGATTGTAATCCCTACCAAACACGCCCTAAAATACTTCTCACATAAACTCAATTTTTCATATTTTTTAACTACACATTCACCAAAAAATCTACTATTCAAAAACTCGTTCTTTACAAAAAAAAAAAAAAAAANTCACCAAAAAATCTACTATTCAAAAACTCGTTCTTTACAAAAAAAAAAAAACGCAGTCAAATAGGGGCTCAATAATGAAGCCCTATTTGTCAACCATTATTCAAAAACTATTTTTTCTAAAACTCATTTTCAATCCCGTATTCTTATAATAAAATATTTTAAAACGTAAATTTTAATTTTTTTTCTTACTTTTTAATCATACATTCTCTAAAAAATTTTTTACACCGATACTCATCTTTTACCAAAATTAAAAAAACAAAAAAATACTCATTTTAATGAACATAAAAAATGCTATGTGTACGCCATGAAGTGTATATATTTGTCCATCATATTATACAAAACTTTAGGGCACCAAATCTGTCACAATAGAATTCTAAAATATACTTAAAATTTAACTACGGTATTTTTTATGTTTAAATTTATTTATAAAAATCGCACTCGATTACATATATTTGCATTGTTATGGGTTAATGTTTTTCTCTTGATATATAACTTAGGGTTTGTTTGGCTTAGTTTCTGTTTGTAAATTACTTAGGAGGGATTTTCCAGGAAATTACTTTAATTTTTATTTGAAAATTAATTTTTAGAAAAACTTCATATTCCAAAAGTACTTTTAGAGGAAATCATATTTACTCGATTTCATCTATTTTTTTTTTTTAAAACACTTTCATAAAATTAGTTAAATTAATTTCAATGCAGCTTTGAATTTCAAAATCTACTTTTGATTATTCAAAAGTCATGTCCAATTAGACTCGACAATTAGGAGGGAGAAAAAAAACGAGAAAATAAAAATGGAAAATCTTTTGGTTATAATCTGAAAATTTAACAATCTTGTTATATGTACATTAAATTTGATATTGTTGTGATGTACCAACTTTTTACATATTGATTTTAACAACACTTTAAACGTTCATTACACGAATTTTGATACATCGATGTCGATTTTATCATTGATAATTTAATTATCTGTTTGAGCCACATTAAAATTTTCATTTTCATTTTTATTATTTTACTCATTTTTAACTATCAATTTTTCAATAAAATAATATTTTTCATCATATCAATAAATTTTTTTTTTTTAACCATATATTTTTCAAAAATATGTTTTCCCAAAAGAATGTGGCTCAAAATCACCATAAAAGTAATTGGAAAGAGAAAAGCTTAGAAGTTGATGCACATCACATAACGTCAAAATTTGCCACGTGTTCGTCCTAAGGAAGTCTTTAAAATTCCTGGTATAGATTTTTTCTCTCTCTCTCTAAAGGATTGGTACAATAAGATATTTTGGACAGGTTGGCCATACAGACACCATAATCATAGTTTGACATAGATTTTCTTCATAAAGGACCCAAACTATTTATTTATATTATTTTTGTCCCACCAATTTCATTTAATTCGTTTTATCCCAAAAAGTTATAATTGTAAAATTAATATTTCCAAAACCCACGTAAAAAATATTGGTAATATTTTTTAATTTTATTAGAGCAAATGCATGAAGATGAAGTGCTCTAATCGTGTAATTAGGGAATATCTATTTTGTGTATCGTATTTCATGTGTGAGTCGAGGAGCAAAATGATGAAGTATTTTAACAAAATATAGTCCTCGTTTGATATCCTTTATTTCAATTTTTTTTAACATAATTATTTTCAATTACACATTCATATAATAAAATATTATATACCCAAACTCAAAAATTTTCCCTATTTTTTAACCAAAAAATTACTATTGAAAAAATTGTTTTTGGCAAATAAAAGACAATGTTAAATGCACTTTTCTTGTATGTAATAATAATAATAATAATATTTTACTTTAAAGATTCACCTCACAAGAAGAGATAATGAATTACTTATTGATTACTTCTTGATTTAATTGACATATTGTATTTTTATTATATTCGTTGATGAAATTAAATGAAATACTATATTTTAAATATCATTTTTGTTTTATTTGCAAAAATAGGTAAAAATGCTGTTGAAGCCTGACAACAAAAGTTGAATTAATTTTCTATACAAAGTCGACGTTCTTTCTCTTATTAATATCAGGGAAAATTACCTTAAAACTTGCATTTAAAGATTACATTTCAGAAAAAAGGGGATTAAGTTTTATTTTCACAAATCAGGTGGTAAATAAGATTAGTTAAAATAATAAATTAAATCACCACCCAATACAACGCAACACACCCCACCCCCAATCCAAAATCCCCAAATCATTTCTCGACTTCTCTCTCTTCTCCAAAATCCCTCTCTTCCAGCTACACAACAAGGTGTCACTATTGCTGCGAGCAGTGGCACCTTGCTTCACAGTCGTTGATCGTGTGTGACGGAGCAGCATCCGTGCGAGGCGCCCTGCCGCTGCGCACAGCGACGACTAGCAGCGGTGGAGGTTATGGTGGATATGGATTGAGCGCAGTGATGTCGTCGGGTCGGAGGTGTTAATGTTGCTCGTCACGCCACCATCGACTCCGCTGCTACAAGCAATCATCGTCGCTCCACTTCTGCTCGCTGCTGCTTCAACACGACGTTTGTGATGCTGTTGTTGGTGCAAATCTACGCGTTGGTGATGCGGATGT